AACACAGGACACACAGAACCCAGGGAGCTGGGTGGCCCACACAACAAGGGCACTACCCCAGAAAGTCGGGTGCTAGCCTTATAGAGCCAGCCGGCAGAGGGCCTGGAGAGGCCTCCTGGGCCCACAGGTGCTCTGTGACAGCAGGGAGCGTGGTGTCCTTTCCATTCACTTTCAATTTATTTCTAAAAGGACTCTCCTTTAGGAGGATCAGAAATAACGGGGGCTTTGTTTGTTCTTCCCTTTGCTACACCAAAATCCAACCTGCTTCTGAAAACAATTCTATCCCAGGTCCAGAAATGTGGCAGGATCTTGATTCTACACTCTCAAAACACAGAGATTCATACATTTTACCAAGGTGACTGGAATATAAAAAAGGCACAAGTGACCTATTGGAGAGATGGACCTAATTATAGTCAATCCTTTGGAAAGGAGAGAGAGATCTTTCATGAAGAACGGGAAGATTTAAGAAACTTGGAGTACAGCCATGTATGATGTACCCTTTATTTCTGAGTATCATCACCCCTTGCTGACTTCGGGGACAGCCATTTAGTCATGAAGTATCACTGCCAGCTTTTGGTACCTCAATCTCTTGCTCTGTCCTTCTTTTCTTTGTGTGACCATCAGCAATCCAGCTTTGGAGGTCGTGTGTTACAGCCACTCCGTCCACGTGTGGAATCCATCACCCATCCATCCACCCACCCACCATCCACCCGTCTGTCTGTCCACCCCCCACCCCAGGCAACCTCCCAGGGTCCTCCTGATGAGGGATGGCAGAAACAGTCTTGTGCTGTGAAGCCCTCAGTGCAGTGCTGGCCCCAGGAGCTCTTGCTGCCTTCCGACCCTCTGTCCCAGGCCCTCTGTGCCCTTCACCTTGGCCTCCGGCCCATATCTGTCCCAGACTGTTCTGGCAAAACTACACTGTACGTCAAAGGCAGCATCTACGTTCTCCAGCCCAGGGCCGCAGGGCAAGGAGGGAGCGATGGAGTCACGTCTTGTCCAGGGCTCCAGCAGCGGGGGTCGCTGGCCCCACAGGGGGCTGTCTGGCACAGACTCAGGCAGTTCCCTCTCCTTCCACACACTTGGTCCCAAAGCCGTGTAACCTGCCCCTGACCCAAGGCCATGTAAATCACTCCTGACCACAGCAAGAAGCCTCTTGAGAGCCTGGAACACCGCACAGTCTTGCTGGACACCAACATTTGGAAGTTTCAATGATTTTAGTTTTGTTTTATATGGTGCTGGGGACCTATGCCATTGAAAGATACTGTTTCAAAATTTAACCGAAACATTATAAAAGATACCAGTTACCAATAATATTTATGAAATCAAGACACAGTTGTCTCTCATACTACAACATTAAGCTATGCAATATAGTATGTTACTGAACAGCACATCTTCTTAAAGATAATTGTTTTTAAAGACAGATATCCTAAAGCATAAATTTCAATGACTGCTGCCTGAAACTTGCAGCTCTGAGGCGACATCTACTCAACCACCAGCCACTGCTCCAAATACTCTGCAACACCTTTCTGAGTCTCACCGGGACACCAGCTTTCACATTCCCAGCAGCAGCGTCACTGACCTGGTTAACCATCTTGGTTATCAGATTCCACTCCAACAATCAAACTCACCTTCACAGAACACAGAATTACTGACCTTTGAAGAGCAGGTCATATGCACACGCCTCCATTCTGAAGGAGGGCACGTCACTGACAGGGTGAGTGACAACTACCAGGCCTGTTCCTCAGCCCAGGTGGGTGACACCAGCAGTGTCAAGAATGACAGTTAATTGAAAAAGGATCGATTATCTCTCCCAAGTGAGCTCGCTAACTAGTCAGTCTGGCCTAGGCATCCCAGCACGCGGGGACACAACGGGTCTGACAGCCTAGCTCAGCCCCAGGCCTGTCCCCACCTGCTCGCTTCCATCACCAGACAGCCCCTGGCTGGCTGGACAGCACCCACACCCAGCAGGGAGTCACCAGCGTGGGACGTTAGGGTGACACAACAGAGCTTCCACACCATCAACGCTGACCTCGGCAGACGGCAAGGAGGGCGGCTGGAGGTGGACTGCTGAAGAGCAGGTCAGCACCTTCTCCACCTCCTCACCGGGCACAGAGAACCCTGTCACCCGACCACACACAAAATGACTCCCAGGTGGAGGCTGCCAGCCTGGGCCTGGTGCCGCGAGGAGCCCCAGAACTGGAGCTGAAGAAGCCACCATCAGGAAACATCAAGGGGCCCCAAGGAAAGGTGCTCCCTCTGAAAGGAGCCGCCAGGTAAGAGGAACAGAACGCACGCACCTCATGCCCACCTGGGACAGCGAAGGCCACACAGGAGCCCCGACCTCTGCCTTCACCCGGCCAGGGGAGGCCACGACACCCTGCCAGGTGACTCCTACCACTGTGCAGAACCTTGCTATACACGCCTTCATAAAACAGGTCACGACATCGCAAGACGCATAACTACAAAACCCCTGCGAAAAGTCAGAGAAGAAAAGCTTCAGGTCCAAAGCCAGTCACAGAGTTCTCAGCCTGAAGCCAAAGGGACAGTGAAGAGGAGGGAACGCCTTCCACGTGGAAAGCCTCCCGGCAGTGGGCAGGTTCCAGGGTGAGACGCAGAGGCTGCCCGGCACTGAAGAGCCGGGGAGCCCGGGAGCAGCGCTGCTGAGTGGAGAGCGGACCTGAAGGACTGAAGGACTTCACCTGTGACCTCCTGGGAAGGCAGAGCCCTGCTGGCAGTGTAAAGGGCCTGGGAAGAGAGAGGAGGGAGAGTGATGGACGGGTCCTGGGATCCCCAGGGCAGCGGGCCACCCGCATGGTGCCACAGCGGGAGGATCCGCATGGCCCTGCATCTATCCAAACCTGAGAGGACCCCGTGGGAACTGTGACTCCGGGAGAGAAGACACGTCTGTGTGTGTGAGGCTCACCAGCGTGACCCGCACCAGGTGTGGCGGTGCTCCTGGCAGGGAGACGTTCCGTGTGGGGTGGGCGGACACAGGAAATCCCTCTCACCCACTCAGTTTCACTGTGAGCCTAGAACCTTTCTAAAAAATAAAGACCGCTTTTAAAAAATGAGAAACTTGCCCAGTGAAATGACCAACTAGAACAACAGAAAGATCACCGCCAAAATGGGAGGAAATATTTCCAGTCTGCACCCCTATTCCAGGAGACGGGACTTAAAAACGAAGGCAGTCTCTCACATTTAGACCTCGGGTCAGAACATCGCTTACAGCACATGTCCCTGGAGAGGCGTGGCACCCGCAGACGGCACTCCTGGCCGTCTTTATGGGCTCCTATGCTTCTAAATGAAAAGGAAGAGGCGCAGGGAGTTCTGCTCTTTGCTCCGCCACCTGGACAGAAGCTCTCTACGTGCACAGCTGCTGACAGCCGCAGGACCCTGGAGACAAATGGCACAAATGGAACGGGGTGGGGGGGTCCTTCTGTCTTCGTTGGGGTCCACAGACCCCACGGGCCCTCCCACTCCAGGGCCTCCCATGGGTTCTGCTAATGATTATAAATGGCAAAGACTCTCCAATTTAATTGCAAAAGGTAATGATGCAGTGAGCATAAGATTAGCTCTACCACAGAAGGCAATATCCTCAAACAAAAAAAAATGAGAAGCTGGTGTGAGGAGGCCGAGATCGATGGAAGGCTTCTGTATTACACACCACGGTGGAGGGTCACCAAGGATATTGACAGAACTGCTGACAGCAGATAAAAAAGGGAAGAGAAAACTAAATTGATCTCTGCAGAAAATAATCACCCTATCCTGAAATCCCGTAGAGACAGCTGGGGCGTGAAGCCGGGGCCACCGCGTGACTACAGCCCAGGTAGCGAGGTGGGCGAGCAAGGCCCTGCACAGTCCCAACGCACAGGCTCAGGCGCTGGGGGCCTCACCCAGCTCCACTTGGCTCTTCATCACCAGGAATCGCACTCTCTCTCCAGGCTACCCCAAAGCCCACCGCAAGCCTGGTATTCTCTCCCTGAAAGTCTGCAGCAGCCAAGACAAGGCCAAGGAGAGACAAATCATGACAAATCATTCCTAGGGTCAGCTCTTGCCCAGAGGGTGGAAGGGGACTTGTGACAGCAGGAAGGCACCACGAGGGAAAAGGGCTGCGTAAGCTGCACGGGGACAGACAGATACAAGGCGGCTTCACTGAGGAAATCCCCACGCCCTGCGGCTCGGTGTCGACCTCGGCCCAGGAGTGCTCGCCATGCATGAGGGTACCACTTCAAGTTTCTTGGCTTTCTTTTTCCTAAAGTAATTATTTTGACATCAGCAAATGCTCTGATATTATAAATGCATGTAAAAATGCATTTTAAAAGAGGAAATTTTCAGGAACCAAATATGGAAAACTATATGTTTACTCTAGGAGTCAAAACATCCAAAAAGAACCCAGGAAAGCAGACCGGGTTCCCACAGTGCCACGAGTCATTTCCTTAACTCACACCAACACATCAAAAGGTGGGCGACACCTTCAAGCTGATGCTTTACAACTGTTCCAACATTAAAATGCGTTTTACTCAGTTTCACCTAAACCCACCCAGGGCAGCCCTGGATGTGCCACGCCCCTGGCACATAGGGGTACAGGGTCTCTATCAACTCTGAGGTCTCCCATGGCTCCAGCTCTCACCCTGTGAAGGGCAGGGAGTGGGGTGGGAACAGGAAAGACAGTGGAATGAACCGGACGTCAATTTCCTGGTTCATATATGGAAACATGACCAGGGTGACTCCACATCATGTGCAACCACAGAACTGATCCTAATGAGAACAAGTTATGCTCCATGTATGTATAACATGTTAAAAACACTCTACAGTCATGTATCCTAAAAAGAAAAAGACCCATCACTTAGCTCTTTGATTGATGACTTGGTCCATTCATTAATTACCTCATAATTAATGTCCAAATGCTAAACATAAGTAAATTGAAAAGTCTATTCTGAGTTTGGCCTCTAGTCACTTCCAGACCCACCGACCAGGGAAGCCCCACCGCGCTGGCTTACCACAGCCTGGCTGGAGCTCTCCTGCAGGTCCCACAGCAGCAGGTGGTTGTCGGCCAGGGAGATGACCTTCTTCCCATCTCCCATCGGCTCCCAGGTGACACTGGAAGGAGAGGAACCATGTTAATGTGGACCCTGGAGACACGGGACCTGTGGCTCAGAGATTCCACTCACATCCTTCACACTCTGGCAGCCTCACGCAGCCCAGTCACTGGAAGTCACCATCCGATGCCCCCTGTGGTCTCACTTCAGTGGACTGAACGTGTGCTTCATGCTGAAGCCCTGACCCCCAGAGTGTGACGGTATTTGGAGAGGAGGCCCTTAGGAGGCAGTCAGGTTAGATGAGGCCATGAGGGTTGGACACTCATGAGGAGATCAGAGTCCTTTTAAGGACAGATACCAGAGATTTCACCTCATCTCTCCCTGCCATGGAGGACAAAGCAAGACAGGACCCTCTGCAAATCAGGAAGACAGACCTGCCAAGAACTTGACGGGTCAGCCCGAGCTGGCCCTCCAGAATCTAGAACCATGAGAGGCAACCATCTGGGTGCCCACAGCAGTTAAGCCAACTCGAGCCCACCAGTGTCCACCAGTGGCTAAGGAGTCGAGGTCAGGGTCACGAGGAGAAGCTGTTATGGACAGGGTGCCCGCGATTTTGTAGGCAGAGGCAAAGTCCCAGGGGACAGGAGGCAGAGCTGAGCGCTGAGTGGACAGGGAACCACGGCCTGCCCAGGCCCAGGCCTGCGCTGCCTGGGGAGCGGAGTCCTTCCTCCACGTCTGAGCAGGCAGAGCTGGTTTCCCAGGCACGGCAGGCACGCCCACCCTAGCCAGCACAAGGCACATCTGAATAGTTCCCAAGGGGCCCCAAATCCTATCTCTGTGGTGAAAGCCATAAAGAGAGAGAAAAAAATCTCAATTCAGTCACAAACGTAGGTTTCTGTCTTCCTGGAAGAAATCCTTAAAGAGCTCACAAGAAAAATAGTTTCATTCCATGCAGTCTGAGCTGAGGCGATGTTCTCTCGTCAAGGGCACACGCCTCGATGGGCTGGGGCGCCCCAGGAGCACCCTTCTGCGGTCACGGAGCCAGCGGATGCCGGTGGAGCTCCCTGCTCCTCAGCACAACACCATCCACAGCTGAGGAGCACAGGCCCAGGCTGGGAGGAACCTCCGCACAGCAGGCAGAGTGCCCCGCAGCTCTCCCAGCAACGGGAACGCCCCACAGTGGAGGGAGGTAAACAGAACTCCAATACAGAGGGTCTGGGACCCTCTAAAGGCAGTGCTAGGAGGAAAGTTCGCATGGATAACAAAAGACATCAAGGAGGAGGAAAGAAGTTCTTGGAGGTTCTGTTTACCTCCAAGAGCTGAAGCACCGCCCAGGAGGGACGGGGAGGACCTGGCTGATAACGCGTTCCTGCTCGGGTGGGTGCTGGGGGCTGGATCTGAAGGGGTTCCTCCACGCAGAGAGCAAGGGCAACGCAGCCTGGGGAAGGAGCATGGAGGGCACAGCCCTGCCCTGGGCACGGTAATGCGTGGCCCCCTTGACCCCTTCCACACAGCTGGGCGATGAAGCCGGCCTGACTGACCAGTAAGATCTATTCCTGTTAAAGGTTCACACAACCTCAACACAGGTGAGGGTGGTGGTTTCTAAAAATAGTCACGAGGCCTGTACATTCACAGAGTGGTCACAAGAAACCGCTCAGCAGCCACGGCTCTCCGGGTCCACCACAGACCCCTCGTGGAGAAACCTCAAGGCAAACAAGGGAGGGTTGGGAGAGAAAGCTCACAAGAACATGCACCCAGTACAGGAGTCTCCTACAGGCCTTCATGACCGGACGGGCAAGGCCAGCACTCCTGCAGGCCCAGGACCCAGGCTGGGACAAGCAGGTCACCTACAGGAGAAGAGTGAGCATGCACATGAGGGAGACGGGCTCCAGGAGGCAGCAGCTTCCCACTCTTCACTCTCTTCCCACTCTTCGGGCAGCAAGGAAGTGGGCTGCCACTCCACTTCCTTGATGGGGTGTCCTGCTTCACAGCCAACGCAAGACTGTCCCGTGTCCTCAGTGGTAGCTGCACTGCCCTTCATGCCGGTCACCTCTCAGTTCTTTACAAGCACTGACCACGCAAGCACCCAGCAGTCTCTGGGGCAGAAAGCACCTTACAAATATGTGCTGAGGAGGACTGGGGAGACTTCGTTATTCTCCTCTAGAGCGTGTCCAGCACGCTGTAAATGCTCAAAGAATAAAACAGAAAGAGATTCTATTCATCAGCACAACTCAGTCAATATCTAAGGGACTTTGTTCAGGAGGCTGAGGCAGGAAGACTGCAAGTTCAAGGCCAGACTCAGCAACTTAGCAAGACCCTAAGCAAATCAGTGAGACCCAGTCTCAAAAATAAAAGAACTGCAGATATACAGTAGTAAAGCACCCTGGGTTCAATACCCAGCATCAAAAAAAAAAAAATCAGTGCATTCCAGAGGGTTTGCTGCTCAGGACCAAGTGGCTTGTACAAAGAGGTGGGCTGAGGTGGCGACTCCCAGGGAAGGATGCAGTCAGACAGGTGGAGCACACGGGAGGCCCAGGACCTGGGCCTCTGTTGACTCTGCTCCCCTCCTCCATATCACCCACTCCTGTGACCTGCATGACAGCTTCCCGATAGTGAAGTCCAGCCTGGACACTCCCTTCATGTTTGCCCACTTGCATCTTTGACTAGATGTCCAGTTTTCACCATGAACTCCAAACGTCCACACAGAGGGCCTGGCGGCCTCCCACCCTGACTGCAGTGATACTGTCTTAGACCAAGGCTCTGGGTCGCTTAGTGCGTGTCTCTCGTCCTTAAACACGACAGGCAAAACAAAGAACGCTGGTTGAATTCTATTTTTTCATGGCTGATTTGTCACCTTTGATCCAATCTAACCTGACAAATTGGCCATGACACTGTCACTTTGTTCCATACCTTGGCTGCTGTGAAGAGTTGTGCGGCGGATGTGGTGCTGCAGTATCTCTGTTTCCTAAGCTCGCACATTCAGAGTGCAACTGCTGGTGAGCACAGATGTACTTGTAACTTTTTGAGGAAGCTTCAAATTGCTCTTGCCTGCACTGTGCAAGGCCTGCTCCTTCACCTCTTGCCAGCACTTCTTGATATGGCCATCCCAGCAGTGTGACGAGGTGCTCACGTGGCTGGCTCTGCATCTCCTCACAACTAGCCAGCAGATTTCATGTATCTGTTGCTCATTTGCGTATCTACTTTGAAAAAAATATCTTTTTCAGGTCCTTTGCCCATTTTTTATTTCAAAATATTTGTTTGTTCTGAAATATTTTGACCCAGCTGCCTCGTTTGCTCTGGAGTCCTGTAAGCTCCTCCTACTGCTGGATTGTGGGCCACCGACCAGGTCAATGCGGACAGCGAGCCGTGCTCTCCATGCTCAGGGGGCCTCTGCGTTTGGCTGGCTGCTCCCCGTGCTAAGCAGGAACTTTCCAACTGCACGCGACCCCCCTTGCTTGCTCTTGCTCGTGTTGCCTGTGCTTCTGTGTCTCAACCAAGACGTGATCACCTGGACCAACTGAGAGGCTTTGGGGTGTTACACCTAACTTGTAGATCCATTTTGAGTTCGTTTCTGTGCATAGTTGTCCAAGATGCCCTTTCTCAAGTGGACACCCAGTGTCCCCTGTGCTGTGGTGCAGAGATCACCCTTCCCTCCTTGTACGTTGCTGGCACCTTGCACAAAGGACGTTTCACCACGTGGGGTCTACGTGCCAGGCTTCCTGCCGTGTCTCCTGATCTGTGTGTCTGTCTTTGACACCAGCCACCCTGCCCTGCCTGCCGCAGCTTTCCAGTGCCAGTGGAGGCCAGGAAACAGGGTGCCTCCAGCTCTGCCCTCCGCTCTCAAGACGGCCTCAGTTCCTTCAGCTCCGTTGGAAGCTCACATGAATTTTAAGACGTCTTTCTCTTTCTTTGAAAAATGTCTTTGGGATTTTGATACAAATTATACTGAATCTGTAGAGCATTCTAGGCAGCACGGACATTTTAATGGTGTTAATTCTTCCAGTTCATAAACACTGGTCATCCCTCCTTTGTGTGCTTTCTCCAGTGCCTTTCATCAGTGTTCTATATTTTTCAGGGTACAGACCTTTCACATCCTTGGTAAAATTTAATTCCTAAAAATTTTATTCTTTTTGATGTTGTTATAAATGGGACAGCCTTTTAAATTTCTTTTGGTGCCACTGTGTGTGTGCAACTAATTTTTAAATGTTGGTTTTGCATCCTACAACTGATATCACAGAGGTACAAAGGATGCAAGAGGCCACATGGACAAGGTATGCAAACAAACTGAACAAACAAACTAGAAGAAACGGATCGATTCCTAGAAACACACTGTTCACCAAGACAGAATCATGAATTGTTTATTAGTTCTGACTTTTTTTAAGAGGAGTTTTCAGGGTCTTCTCCATATGACATCATGTCATCTACAAGCAGGAATGTCACGTCTTCCTTCCCAACATGGACGCCTTCAGCCTCCCTCTCTTGCCTGCCTGCTCTGGCCAAGGCGTCACTACGCGTTGAATGGCAGTGGCTGAAGTGATCTTCTTGTCTTGGTCCTGATCCTAGAGGACAGGCTTTACGCTTTTCACCAGACAGTGTTAACTGTGGCCTGACATCTGTGGCCTGACTGTGCTGAAGTACATTATTTCTCTACCTCTTTTGAGGAGAGTATTTATTATGAACCTGGCTGAAGGCATCTTCTGCATCTATTGAGAGGATCATATCGCATTTGTTGATTTACATGTTTGGACCATTCTTGCATCCCAGGCAAAAAACTCCCTAATTATGGTGCATCATCCTTAGTATGTGTTGTTAAACTTGGTTTGCATCAAGATTTGCATGGAAGCTCAACAGGGATAATGACCTGTAGTTTCTTTCTCTGATTCTGGTATCATCATAGGCTTGGCCTCATGAACTCTCCTTTAACTGTTTGGGAGGTAACCGATAGTCTCTTCCAGTCCTGAGCGTCTTTCTGTCAGGAGATTTTTGATAATGACTTAGTCTCCTTATTGTTGATTTGTTCAGTTTTCATATTGCTCCATGATTCCAACTTCTTCAGGAATC